GCAGTTGTTCGCTGTCGGCCAGCAGGATTTTGGGACGCATATCAGCATTGTCGACGACCAAACCCGGCGTGCAGGGTAGAGGAAGACACGTTACAGTATTAGCAGCGTTTGATGACGGCGGAGACGGATTGCGCGGACGAGTTTATGAAAACACAGGGTTACGCGGCTGACTATACGATTTACGGGGCCCGCCACCTGCAGCAACTATTAAAATTGCACCGCCAACCCTATTTAGATATACATCTAATGGTGCCCTAAGAGCATCGCCTGTAAACTAGTACTGTACAGTGTGCACTGCAAATCTCTTGAGATTATTGGATAGTGCATTCGCCAAGTATTTTGGAATGAGCCATTTCGAATGATTGAGGATAAGCCACAAGAAAAAACAGATTTGGTTTTTGCTTTGCACAGTTCTGATTGCGAGTCGCATTTGCAACACCCTATCCTGAGCATTTCTGTTGCTCGTTGTGAAAGCGTGAATACATGTGCGATCTGGAAAGAACAACATCGAAGTCACGAGGAATTTTTACAATACACGTACATATTAACTATTTTATCCCAGTGCCACAAAATGGCTTGTACACTATTGTCAACCCAGTACTTCGTTTAGTTCGCATCATTTTACGACAACGATATATCTGCTAAGTTCGCCTCTAACTATGTTAGGCGTGAACCAGCAGAGCTAAATCCTAAGTTGTGGGCAAATCGCGGTCAGTGCTGCCTCGTTGTTTGAGCACCGACAAAAAAAAATGATTCTATAAGAAATGTGATTTTTTGAATGAAAGACTCAACACGTGTGGAAAGTGAAGAGTATGTCTCTTATCGTACTGGCAGAAGTTTCATTCGCTGCAATCACCGCAGCAGGTGGGTCTTGTCAGCATATTAATGTGTCGCCCGTGCTGCCTGCGCCAAATAGCTATCACCTCGTCTACGGGGTTTAAGCCGATTCCTTTCGTTGTGCATTTCGGCATCTACCGCTCGGATGACAAACTGCTGACAGACATACTTTACTAAGCTAGTTGTAGTAGATACAAACCTCCGGCCCTCAGACCAAGTTGCAACGCTATTATCGTACGAGAACCAAAATACAACACTGCTGACTGCATAGAATGTAGATGCTAAATTAGTATCTAGTTCTTCTAATTCAAAAATACACAGCCATCACTATTGCGTGTATATGCTGGGGCTCAGCAATACCTTCTCGTAGCAGCACCCGGACCATTGCTTAAACCTGTCTTAACTCCCACAGGTTATAATTACGACCTTAACAGATACTGGCCAGTACGTTCATTGGATTGTGATGAAACAGCACAGATGAAAATGCTCTCAAAACTAATCATTATGTGTAGTGTTGTGCACGAGAGAATGCAATGAACACGTTCGTCGACTCGATAGCATGTACAACAGCTGGATTTATTAGGACATTTGCCAGATCGACCGCTTTTTTCCTTTCCAAGAAAGCATATGCGGAGATTTACACATCCGATTTTTGTCGTTCTCATTAGGACTAAGGCCCTGGTCTAAGTAGTTCTGTACTGAGTTTAGTACTAGGGGACGGGGTCAATCCAGAACGAATTGTGGTCAAACTAGGTGAGACTGTACTGAGTACTGGCACGAACCGGCCTGGTCGGAACAACTTCTGAGTAATAAGATTTTGAGGCAGTGTAGATGAAGCCGAACCAATACGCAGAGACTTCATTGTTAAAACTAACCTGACAAGAACGACCATGGAAGCCTTCGCATCGTGCTGTACTTCTACGCCAAGGGGATCTATGACCCCTCAAAACGCCATCGTACAGCTACCAGCCCTACCATCACTGCTTGTTGCATCTGCAACGCCGAGGGCAGTGTAATTTTTTGTTTAGCCATTTTAGACAGAACCGAAAGAACTTGATTAATGTATACCACAGCGCTTGACTTTGACATCCCAAGTACTGTCGCCGCGTTGTCCGTGGAGCCTCCACTGGCCAAATACACCATCGTCACAGCAACTCGTTTCGTTAGGTTGTGCTTGGTGTTGTGATGGATCTTGCCAATCCACTGGCTCTGGACTAACGTGACAATGGCAAAGAATGTCCGTCTATCACAACGCATCTTCCTGTGAAACCATTTAGTTCTTCGACTTGCTACAGCTTTGTCAAACGCATTCGACGCGAAAGTGTTCACATTTTTTCGAGTATAGCCACCAAATCGACGACGATCACTGGAGAGGGCAGCAAAGGTCGCCCAGATGCACTGCATGACGCATAAAACTGCTACCTTGGCCTTGGTCACCATGGCTACTTCGTTGGTTTTACAGTAATACGCGATATGGAGTGTGATGAAGATTGATCAGTGCCGGTATAGACTGCAATTTGTTCTGACTTCAGAACACCTCTGCCAGGCGTTCTGAGGTTTCTATTGAGAACGGTAAAAAACTGAAAATCGTTCCGAGTGGCAACTCAATTTTAGCCAATCAGTACACGCTATATCTCAGAATGAATTTCAGAATTTTTACTTAGACCAGGGCCTAAAAGCAGTAATCTCCCTCGTAGAGTTGCGTCTGTAAGCTGGCTGAAACCAGGAAGTAAGGTGAACTGAGATATAAGGGTGCTTGCCTGTAGAAGATACTACAGTTTAAGGTTTTCAGGTGGAAATATCACGAACCATCTTGTATTAACATCACGGGTTTTAATCGTTACCGAAGATAAAGTGCAAATTTTGCAAACGAAAGCAGACGACTTCTTTTGGAACGTACAGTGGTGTTACCTGTCCTAGTGAGACTGTGGACTGTATCTAAGGCTGGATTCTAACCGTGCCATGTCAAACCTTATTGGCTGAACGCTCATAAGGAATAGGGTAACAGCTCCGTGAAAGTACCAGGGGATAGCACTCTGAATTGCTAGCAACTGGTCGTGCTATTGCCATGACTCAAATCAACATTTCTTGCCAATTATGAACAAATACGCTGTATAGATACTTGCATAATGCTCTTGGGAAGCTTCGTGCAAGGGTCGCTACTATGCCAGCGCCCATTCTAGACAAATCACCATTCCAGAGGTATCGAGGAATTCGTTTCTACACGGATATTGGATATTGCACACAAAAATATCGCAGAAATCGACCCTAGATCTATGGCACGCATGGTGTTTTGTCACGCCACTAAAAACCAGCGTAAGCTCGTAATCATTTTTTTTTTTAAAGCAACGACAAGATTCACTGTCAATGTTCAGTGAATGGATGGTGAGATGTGTAGTACTTCTTCAGAGTACTAATACAGTACTCTACACGTTGATTGGAGAACACGGCATACTTGAGTTTAGAGCATTTCCCCCATGTACTACATAGTATTAAAATACTATGACCAGTTTAATCACTGTGCAATACGGATATGTGCCTCTGCAATAGTTCGCTGTTCAGTTCGCAATTTGCCCGTCTCGACAGACACGAAGCCTCCAGCCGTTCACTGAAGCATGCGCTTCTACTTTGCCGTTGTAGTTGCAGCATGCATGCTCTCCGCGATTGCTAATGCTGCGGCCCAAGGTTTAACCCGAGCCGTACCAGCGATCCAGAAACCCGAGCTTAACCGAGACGCTTTCTACGAGCAGATGCCGCGGGTTTCAAAGCCAACGAGGTGAAGAGAGAGCGTTCCTCACGAACTTGAAGACTGACTTCATGAACTTCAATATTGACCGCTGGTTAAACAAGGGCTTGCTGCCGAAAGAAGTTTCCGCGAAGCTAAAGATCAACGGCGCGGGAGAATTGCACAAAAACTACAAGTACTTGCAGCAATACGCGACCAAGTGGGATGAAGCGGGCAATCCTGTTCATGTGTCCCCGGCATATCACCAGAAGAGGCTTGAGGATCTCGACGAGTGGTTTCGTCTTGGCTTTACGACAGAGGGTGTTCTTAGACAGCTCAAATTGTTTGGGGTGCACGGCAAGAAGCTCAAGGATCACAAAAACTACCCATACTACATCAAGTATCTGGACATGTTGAGGGCTAAAAACCGTGCTGGGAATGCTGCAGTACTATGAGTACGCCGGAACTGGGTAAGCAAATAAGATTGATGAGCATCCGTCATAGGTGTGCTTGGCATTCCTTATTGCTACAATAGAAGCGTTTGACTTGAGAAGGTTCCTCGTTTTCCGTTTAGATGGTGGTCTTGCTCATTGTGTGGTTATCTCATTTGTAGAACACCGCAGTCCTCGTTGATAAGCAGAAAGTTGCGTCTACTCGAAAACGTTGTACGTGTGTAGTAGCAGAAAACATTCCTGATGAGACTCTACGGCAATGACCGAATTCGTCGCTACATGACAAGCTTGCACTTGATCCCACCATCACCTTCTTCCATGTTCACGCTCATATCGTCCTGAACTCTCTATCTTTTACCATGTTGGTGATATGATATCATTGTAGTAGTAAAACGACGACAAACGCTAGAGTAAGTTCGAGGGAATAGGATGGCCTCTAATTGTGGCCAGTAATACATGATGACAACATACAGTTGTCATCCCTTGTGGCTACGACAAACCACAAGGACAGCAGTCCAATTATTCTGAGAAGATTACCGTTCACGTAAGCTCCTCGTGATTTTCGGGCCGCAGCGAGCACCTCCCAGTACCCCGGAGCGTTCTCTATTTGGCGAACCATGCAGTAACTCACTTGACCATATATGAATCGTAACGCTGTGTCATTGAGAGATCTCATTCGACATGGCATTCACTGAGTAGGGCCGTATATATTTTTTTTTAAGTTTTGATCTATAAAGGTCCTCTCGGGTGTGGTGCACACGGTGCATTCTAACTGAACTCATTCTTGAGCTTCTTTTTGGCCGGAGCTTCGTCAGATTCTGCACTGTCAGTGTCTCGCTCGTTCAGTGAGACGTTTGATGTGGCTCTAAGCGGCGGGATGTCCAGGATCTTAATTCCCGAGAGTAAATACCCACTGCAAGCACTCATGTTCATCTCTGGGTGAGTACGACCAGGCAGCACCTGGTTCTCACGCGTCCAGGTCTCGTTCAGCTGGAGATCAATGATAGCTTCCATCTTCTGGAGCGTGGCGAACGTCCGGGTCAACGGCTAAGAGAACAAATAAAATTCAAGTTAGTATTTTACCTTCATATTGTCAAAATCAGCAACCACAAAACTTCACCTCCAGGAACTCCGAGTAGACCACGAATGGCTTGGATCGGCCCAGATATGGCAGCAGCGCCATCAAAACCTCCTCGGGGTCATAGCTCGCCGCTATTACGAGACTGTCGGACTTCTCACGAGCCCACTCGCGAATCGTCGACGGCTTCTGACGGAAAAGCTTCGTTTGTTCGCGACGAGCTTTCTTTTCGGCATAGCGTTTCTGCTGCTCCGGCGTGAAGTTCTTGGCACGTTCCGCAGCAAGTTGCTCTCGCTCCTCCGGCGTCAAACCGTCTCTCGCGACCTTGGCAGGTTCCACCACATCTTCTTCCTCCTGCAAAATGAAAAATTAGCAATAAAATTCTTATGCAAAAGTAAGTAAAATATATTACCATCTCAAGCAATCGCACTTGCTTGAACGGCATGTAGTGAATGGACTCGAGCGTTCGTTTATCTGTAAAATTACATAATTTAAGCAATTGTTAGTAAAAAAAAAATTACCAACTAACGAACCTCATCAATACTGTACCAAAGTTAAAACGACGGAGAATGTCTGCAGCAGGCTGCTGGCCCTCGTAGGGACAGATGATGCGTCCAGAGCCTCCCTGACGCTCTGCAATGGCACCTGTTACCAGACCCATACAGGTATCCACAACCAGCACTTGGCCACCTGCGAAGATGTTGCCGTAGACCAGTATTTGACCCAGCGAATCCTCACGTAAATTGCAGATCTTGGCTGGGTTTTTCAGCCTATACGTGCGGCATAGCGACTCGGCTGTGCAACGCAAGAAACGCACACGAGGCATGTACTTCTGTTGCTTCTTCTTGAGGTATTTTTGCTTGGAGAATTCTGTCTTGGTCTCCCACGTGGAGCTGTTCTCCACCAACTTCTGGATAATTTCTTTACCAGACGCTCCTTTCTCACGGAGCTCGCCAATGTCAGTCTGCTTTAGCGTCTGCGCCGAGTTGGTGTCCGCATAGTGACGGTTGTCTCCATCCGGCACAAAACCATCACCCGTTTCTATTAAATAAAAAGGTTAGTTTCCTAAATTGTTAATAAAAATCGTTCACTAATTCATTGTTTTACCTGGAGCGACGGGGTCTGGGAACAATCCACCCGTCACCTTCACCAGTTTCTTGTTTTGCTCCTCAAAGACGGCACTGTTTACAATATTGGTATACATAATTAGTCTCATTACTCATAGTGTCCATCGCTTTATAATATTCTACCCGTAGAAAGAGCCAATGACTGGTTTCAAGTTTGCCACTTTCTTGCCGACGCGGATGGACCTGGAGTTGACATAACGACGCAAGTTAGTTAAGTATTCTGATGGTTGGAGATAATGGGAAAGTGACGCACTCGTCCTTGGCGACGGCTTGGAAGAACATTCGGCCGTCGCTGGTCTGGCAGATAACTGTGTCGCCCTCATAGATGACGTAAGGCAGGCGAGGCGCCTCGGTGGACGTACAGGCGCCGCCATCAGCAGCAGCAATCGAAGAGGTAGCCATGACGAGTGATAGTGCTCACCATGCGGCACCAATCGCATCAACGACCAATCAGATCGCTGGGATCTTTTTTTAAGCCAATCGTTATCCGACGATCATTTTGACCTTTTAAGGTGAGTTGTGAAAGGGCTAACCCTTTCTCCGGGTTAACCTTTTTCATTTACTTGGGAAGAATAAAAACGAACGCATTTCCAACCTCTATATCCCTATTTTGGAGAGAACAAGACGGTCGACCAGCTCAAGGCGAAAGTGTGAGCTTCATTTTGTGGCATCAAGAAGTGATATTTGCCAGTGGTCGATGAAGGAATAGAGGCATTTCTCGCAGTGCATTTTTTTTCCTATACCATTCAACACAGTGGTCGTCAGGAGCTTAGTGCTTTCATCTTAGCCGACCATGCCGTGGGATTGGTATTTAAAATATACTAGGTTGACGTATTTAGTTTGCAATTAACTAAAATAAAGCTCTAACGTTGTGGTTGTTGTGTAAGAACAGATTACAGTGAGGGACGCAAGAGCATGCGTCCATTGCGGATAATTTGCATTTTTCTAAGCCATGAAATCATTCAAGGTAATACTAACTGAGCTATTCCAGGCAAGCACGATAATATCAAGCTCGATGTCGCCTTGTATTCTTTGGGGGAATTCATTTTGCTTTACATGTTAGCAGTTTTAGTATGAAATGTTAACGGCTTCACTTTCTAAAACTCTAAAGTTAGTAACAACTAGATTGTGGTTTGAACTGATTTCGAAACGCTACCAGTAAAATTGCGGACGACTAAACATTGGCATGTCCGTGATTGCATTTTAACCGTTTCGAAGAATAAAATCCAGAGCTGTTCCGTACGAAAGCGTGGCTTTGTAAATACAGTCCTTAGATTGTGGTTGGTACTCAACAGATTACGGTCGGGACAAATGTCCTACGACAACACTGAAATTATGTTTACGGTGCTGTACACAACATTCCCTTCGCAAACTAATCTTAATTTTTGTGGAGAAAGTACGAGGTTTCAGACCAACAAATACTCTCATATACTAGTAGTGAGTGACCCAACGCTTACTGTAACCGCGCACTTGTACTCGTCAGTCCGAAATACGCTCACTTCCTTTAACAACCCCTCAAGACAGGTCTCCACGCCAACGCACTCTTGCAGTCAACAACTTTCATGCGTCTCGCTTACTTCTTCGTCTTGGGGATTGCGGGTACTATCCACGACAGTAGCAGTGCGTTCCCTGCCACGATCGCGAATGCTAAGGCGATGATTGACAACGAGGCTCCGCCTAATAATTTCGATCCGATTCAAATGGATGGTTACCGCCTGCTGCGCCGTGTTGACAATGACGAACAGGAGATTGAAGAAGAGAGGACCTTCAGCCTCGGAGATGTACTGAAGAAGCTGAATCCTGTCAAAGCTGTGAAAAAGGCCAAGGAGAAGGTACAAGACGCTACGGATAAAATTACGGATCCCAACTGGAAAGACCTGGTTGTCCATTTTGCGGTAAAAGGAGATGACAAAGGTTAAGAGATCCGTGCTCATCGGCTGGTTGGTATAATCTGTACCAGCTTAAACGAGTGGATGACTTTCTCGTCAATACAAACTGGAAGCTCATACAAGTTAGTTTCAATTGTATATGATCACCGAAGGATTCTACACCAAATACCAACGACTTTACTTGCATCCAATCTTTATTTCGTAAGCATTTCTCGCAGTCCTCTCATTAATTTGCCTCACAGGCACGACATTGTATGTGCAATTTTTTTTAGTAATGTGCAAACTGTACCGTGCCAGAGTCGTGAAGCACTTTTAAGGAGAAAATTTTTGCTTTTGACATCATGATCTGTTCCGTGCTAAGCGCGGTTTTGTAGTTTTTTTTTTTTGCCAAACTATTTTTTCCACGAATCGCCACAAGAACATCATGTGTGGACCACATCAGGAAGAATGACCCCCCCCCCCCCAAATTATTTCGAAGCGTGTCTTGCCTGGGAGAGCGGGGCCCAAGTGAAGTCCCCTTCCACGTCTTTTTAGCGCGTTTAATAGCTCTAGTGTACTGTTCGCGTTAGGCATTGCGAGTTGTTTGGAAATGAGCTTGTCCCCCCATCTCGTAGAGCCGAAATTAGCTCCCGTTTTGGACTTTAAAAAACTGAGGTATGCGACTAAACCTTTGTTGTCGTCATGGACGAGAGGTAGAGGTAGTGCCCTCAGATAATTTTCATTCACTCAACTCCGACTAACCGAAGTTCGTGCTTCTAGAGAAACATACTCATGTCGAGTCGTCGTCGATAATAATGGCACATGTAGGTAGTTCAAATCAATTGATAACAGTCGCAAAAAGTAAGTCTTTGCTTATGATGCACAGTTTCGTGAAAATTCGAGTTAAACATGAATTCGATGTAATTATCTTGAAATAAAAGTTTTGTTGAATGGAGATGCTAATTTTTCTCACTTCAGCAGTATTTTCCCAATATATCTCGATCGCTGTGGCAAATCACTAGGTCAAAGTTTAGACAAGTACGATCCGACTAAAACACAAAGCTCAAACTCAGGACTTTCGCCTGAATTGGTTATCGAGTAATGACATTCGTTGCGTCTACCCGTCTCCGCCGCAGAGCTCTCAGTACCCTTTTCCTGATCACCCTCGCTAGCTCCACAACGTACGCAGCGCGTAGGTGCCCGCACTCATATTTTCTTCAAACTCGGTGGAATATTGGATCCGCCTCGCCAAAAGGTCATGCCAAATTTGGATGCATGCCGCTAAATTCACCAGCCCATTGGGGTCATGCTGGAGCACCTTTTGACAGAGGTCTTCCCCTTCGGATTGGTGCTATCGTCCGGTAAGCCACAGGATCTTGCTTCTCACCACACAATAGAATGTTGTCCCGCACGGATTCTTGCCTGGGCGAAATAGCGAGCACACTTTGCATCCGTATTGCCGACGCTTTTCAGATTTTTTGTTCTTTTTGCCTGTGTTTGGATAGCGTGAACTTGCCGATAGATTGTATAAGCGTTGCCAAGAGCCATATGGACGAGACCGACGAAGTTAGAGTGATAATACTTTTTGGAACTGGTTAGCGTCACCGAGTAGCATCGGACTTAAACGAGATCCTACTGTACTGAAACGGTAATTTACGAGAACAAAATACCGCGGCTCTCTGAAAAATCTGAAATCCACATTTCCGAAAAATGTCACCCCTTCTCCCCCTTTTCACCCATCCCGAAACGCCCCAGAGCCGCTCATTTCAAAATCGCATGCCGGACGCCACAACAAAATATCCAGCGAGGGACTGCTGGTTCGGTACGTGTATTAGTCTAGGGGTATGGAAGCTGTATTAGTAACCTCACTTGCTTATTATGGTTGTTAGCGGCATGAGTGACAGCGAGCCCGAGCGTCAAGTCCCCAGCGAGGGTCTGTGAATATGCCCTCCCGTCGACGTAGAGTGGCATAATGACTGGGAGGAGTTTCGCGTTTACGTCGATCAGTATCAAGAAGACACTCTCCAAATCTTTCGCCAGCGCACTTCGACGTCGGTGCAGAAACGTAACCAAGAGATTGAGGGCCGTGCCAGTCGTGGGGTAGGCTTTCCGGCACGTGACGGGCAGCTCCGAGAATAGCGCCAGGTCTTCTGAGAGGCCGATTCCTGAGGAATTTAAGAATTTCTGGATTAAGCTTGTGTGTACGCATGGGTGGACGCGAAAGAGTCGAGGCAAAGGGAATTGCAAGACCTTTTTCGGGTGTAAAGCGAACATTAAGGCAGCCGTTACGTGGAACGACAAGGATGGCGTCAACAAATTCATGGTGCGGGTTACTGGCTTTGACGGAGCTCACAACCACAACGTCTCCGAGTCAACATACAAGAACCATGCATCGAACCGCCGTGTGGAGGATCCAGACGTTCTTGCCTTCGTGGATGAGCTTCAGGCAGCTGGATCTAAGCCAAAACTAATCATGCAGTATCTACGAAAAAAAACGGTAAGTAGCTGTTGATGAAATTCGAGGTTACATTTTACTCACTCGTTATGCTTGCAGGGAAGCGTGTTACGCTACGGGATGTCCACAACTTGGTCACGAAGTTAAAGGAAAAGCGGAAAGGAGGTGCCACGACGGAGGAGCGGCTGGAAACCGTCTTGCGGGAGCTTTGTGAGACCCGAGGAAATTGGACCACTGTGTTTGGGAATGATACCAAGACAGCCCAGACCATCACGATGCAAACGCGGCAAATGCGGCGTTGTTTCAAGGCATTTCCTGAGGTTCTACTGGTCGACGCCACACACAACACGAACGAGTCGTGCAACAAACTCTTCTCGTTCATGGTGAACGATGTGTATGGACATGTAGGTTATGGTACCTGTTGCTACAATGTTTGAGCTTCGGGTTACACTGTGTGACGACAAGTGCCTGCAGGCACACGTTGTACGTGAAGTACAACTTGAGTGTCTGTATGTACATGAAGTTTATCGGCTGGTGTTAAGGCCAATACGTTCATCACAGCCTGATGGAAAATGAAAGCAATGAATGCCTTTCGGATGCAATCAGGTCGTTCAAGTTTAACAACCCATCATGGGAGAAGATCAAAGTTATCGTCATCGACAAAGATCTAATGGAGTTGGGCTACTTGAAAAGGAGTTCGAAGGTGTGAAGGTGTGCCACTTTCATTTGAAGAAGTATATCCGGACGGAGATGGCGAAGAGTGAATACGGTGGACCGACTAGTTTTGATAAAGATGAAGTTGAAGATGCTGTTGACATGGCGCGACTGGCGCCATCTGCAGTGGAGTATACCAAGTACTTGAAGTACTTGTACTTCCTACTTGATGACGTACATATCAAGGACAGCGACGCTATTCCTGAACCTGGCCGCCCTTTTCTCAAGTACTTCATGCGCAATTGGGATTCGATGAAGGAAAGATGGGCGTTGTACGCACGCTCTGATGTACCGCATTTAGGAAACCACATGAATAACAGGTATGTTGGCTTGCAAACGTTTGGTAAATATATCTAGTATTCTGACAAATGCATGACCGTCGATTTCAAATGACAGGTTGGAGTCTTCATGGGGCCACCTAAAAGAGGTTCTGAAGCCGGAGATGATTTTGGGGCAACAAGAAGTGATATTTGCCAGTGGTCGATGAAGGAATAGAGGCATTTCTCGCAGTGCATTTTTTT